CACCCATCACTACTACATCTCTCCTTTCTGAGAGTGTGGTAATCTGTTCTTTTGAAGTCTTAAACTTAATACAGAGATTCTACATTAGACCAAAATGTCGAACAAGGGGGCTAAACAGACCAATAGTAAGCTTCCTGGCTGCTTGAGAGCATGGCATGAGGCCCGGAGACATGGCATTTATACATGCATGCTGCTGGAGTGCTGAAAAACCGCCACCATGGTGGAAAAGGTATCTTTTTCCTGGCACAAAAAGCAGTGGAGTCCCATACTTAGTAGGGAGCTAAGTATGTTTAGCTTGGAGAAAAGAAAATTAAGAGGTGACATTATAAATGTATTTAAACCCATTCTGTGGAATGAAGACTGTTAATCAGCCTCCATATTTAAACTTCTCATGCTGAAATATTCCCATGGCAATTCACCAAATTGCAAGGTTGGAAGTAAGAGAGAGCAAGTTGTATAACTATGAACCAGGGTAATATTAATTAGCTCAATCAATGGCTGAGTTACAAGTATCCCTGGGACCTTGTCTAAATTTGTATACCAAGGTTGAGGAGATAAAAGACTGCAGAGACAGGATTCTTTCAATGAATTATGTTTTATTGAGGGGAAAGCACACAACAATGCAAGCACACACACAAGCACATAAGAGCTAGGGAATAAAGAGGTGAGATTTGGAATAGAAAAGGCTTCACTAAAGGGATAATTACCATCAGCAGGGTGGCTCCTTAAAGATGCGGTCTCGTGGCTGGAATCGGGTCTCAGCTGCTGGGAGCTGCTGAAAGGCAGCTTGAGTTGGAACTAGCAGGAATCCAGAGGGACATGGGATCCCCCCTGTACTCAATACTAGCACAGGGAAACAAAGGAAATTTGGGTTCTTTTAAAGGCAAAACTAGCCTCAAGACAAAGACCATGTGTCTACATCAAAGGGCCAATCTGCACAGGAAAGATAACTTGAAATGGAAGTCTCTTGAGATGGAAATTGGGGTTGTAAATTAAATCTTGACAAACATCCAGTTGTAAATTATCTAGCCTTCCTGAGATGTAAGTGTGAATGCCCCCCTTTACAAGCAACTCCCAAACTGCCTATGTGCTGTCTAGCTTTAAAGCTCATGGTGGCTTGTAGATACATGACCAGGTACCTTAAAGTTCATGGCTATTATACAGATAGTATACATTTAGAGTCATAGAGGGGTAACACACGCACCACAAAATTGGAAGACTTTCAGTAGTCATAACAGTTGTACCTTTCACAAGCCGACACACATATAATTTTTGAAGAAGTCAGTATGCCTATCCTGGTGTTAAAGGAAATGCAATCAAAATGCAGATCAACATACATTTAAGTCTGCATTAACACAGTGGTGTTATTAGCACCTGAGTACCCAGAGACCATTGAACATCACCACACAATTGCTTTTTTATGATTATTACAATGAAGATTTATTTTCTTTTAACTCTAACTACTTTCTTCAGAGGGCACTCTCTTTTAACGGGTATCTGTAGAGGCCTCCAGCTTTAGGCAAGCATATTTATTACTATCAATATTAGTGTATTTCTCCATTTTGTGCCCATTTATGGCTTTCATAAAATATCTGCCAGAATGCTGAAATCAGCTCAGCAAATAAACAAATTATTAGTTGTCTCCCAAGATGGGAAGATCTTAGATACCAGATCTGAAAAGTTAAGATTATTGTTTTCATGCTGTATAATCTAGGGGACAAATCTCTCCATGTTGTCCTTTTTCCAGATTAACAACATGTGAAGCAAAGCTTGGGAAAGTTCATTTTTTAGACTACAGCTTCCAGAATCTTCTAGCCAACATGGCCCATGACTATGCTGTCTGGGGGATTCTGGGAGCTATAATCCAAAAATTAGCCTTCTCAAACTCTGGTCTGAGGTGCCTAATGACTTCCATCCTGTTTGTTTAATGCTGATAGGCCCACTGAACAATGCTGGTTTTTGCAATAACTGATGCTGAAGAGCAGAGGATGAAACTGGACTTGAGGCTGGGCATTGTGAGTTCAGGAAGAAGAACTTGATTCCTTTCAAAAAGACAGTTTCTGCATTGGTTATGGATGCCTTCCAAAACAAAACTAGTGGATGGGTGAAAGGATAGGAAGGCAATACGTGTTCAGTGATGGAACAATGTGTTACCATTTGAAAGCTGTAATGGTCTAACAATCTTTCTTACACTGGATAAATTTTGTCTGTTGTAACAGAAACAAGAGCATATGTTGCAGCAACCTAAAGCATAGATGAGTGGAAGCCAGTGGCTTCCATATATGTGGGTGGGGGTGAATCAACTCCAAGTTTTAGTCCAAGGATAGGCAACCTTTCCCCTTTAAGGGCTGAGGGACTTCAGCTCCCAGAATCCCAGGAGCTATTGGCCAACATGGGACTATTGGCCAAAATGGCTGAGGCTTCTGGGAGCTGAAGTCCCTCAGCCCTTAAAGGGGAAAGGTTGCCTACCCCTGTTTTAGTCCAAACTTTAAAGATACTACTTGGAGATGTCCTTTAAAGTTCAGACTTAAGCCTAGAGCAGATTCACAACTGCACTGACATGGGGGTCACTGGCCATCACAGCAACAATGCCACTACTTGGAATGATGGAATATCTTTGGTGTTTTCTAAAGAGAAAAATAACCTTCTTTTATCTCCTCCACAATTGGTCCTTCACATCCCTCAGCTTTGGGAATGGTCTCCTCCACTCCATTACTGAAAAACACTGGACTGAATGCTACAGCCTTGCTCAGATTTACCTTAGCATCTGGTTGTTAAGGACCCTACCATCTATTCAAATGTACTTATGAACCTGTAGTACCATTCTGCCAACAGAGTGTTGGTTACAGCAGTTTTCAGAGATAGAAATAGTCACACAAAAAGTTAACAATCATTTAGAACAATGATGAAATCTACAAAGGCACCACAAATATCTGTTGTTGTTGTGTGCCTTCAAATTATTTTTGACTTACAGCGACCCAAAGATGAACCTATCATGGGGTTTTCTTGGCAGGTTTCTTCAGAGGGGGGTTGCCATTACCATTGCCATCCTCAGAGGCTGAGAAAGTGACTTGCCCAGTGTCACTCAGTGGGTTTACATGGCTGAACTGGGATTTGAACCCTGATCTCCAGAGTCCTAATTCAGCACTAAAACCACTGCACCACACTGGCTCCTGTAAAATATCTACATAATTTAAAACATTGTTTATGCTTTCACTGCTCCCCCAAACCTTGGGAAATGGAACTTTAGTGGACATTTTGTGAATATTCCTGTTGACTATTCAAAAAAGTCCTCATGCCCCCTACAAGGACTCAGAAGGATGTTTGCTTATAGGGATAATGAATTCAGT